AAATAACTTACGTAACTGAGTTCAGTGGGGAATTAGGATTCGGGTTTGTTCGAACTCGAGTTTGACCACGTGGGCCCGAGGCATTTTGGGAATTTTTAGTAAAACTTTGGGAAATTCATTTTTCAGGCTTTCAAATTGATTTGATTAGCATTTGTTGATACATTCAAGTAATTTCTGACTAGATTCGAGCGGTTTGGTGGTGAATTCGAAGGGTAAAGCGATACTAGAGGCTTGAGTTGAGTTTGGAGCATTTGAGGTAAGTGTTTGATCTAACTTTGGCTTGAGGGAATAGGAGTAGAGTATTATTTGCTAATTGCTAAATGTGGAGTACGATGTATAGGCACGATGATGAGTATCTATACACCGGTCTCTAGCATGATCGTGAGTCCTTATTTGTGCTTATTTGGGATTCTGTAGTGGCTCTTTGCCACTGGGTTTGGTCCATCGTGAGGGCCACTGGATCTGGTCTAAAGAGAGGAGCTCGCTTCTTCTCAAGTGGATCTTTCTGTGCCTATATTATCTACTTATTCTCATTTTATATTAATCTTCACAATCAAAGGAGGAGCTAATCTTTGTTGAATAGATTGTTGATTAAGATAAAGCTTTTCCGATTGGCTTAGTTATATCTAATGTTTTAGCACATCTCATGATAATGAGTACTTGTTACCAGAATCCTGCTTGTCTTCTAAATTTTTGTTTTCCACGTCTCTGAAATTGAAGCTATCATATGCTTAACTGAAAGCAGGTATCTTGGTGGAGCCTTTGATGTTGAGTCTCTCGTTGAGTGTCTACTTGGGCAACTTGCTGCAAATCATCCGATTATTGTAAATGTCTATGATGTTACAAACTCTTCTGATCCTTTAATCATGTACGGACACCAGAACCCAAATGGTGATCCCACACTAAAGCATGTTAGCAAGCTTGATTTCGGTGATCCATTTCGTAAGCATGAGATGATTTGTAGGTAAGTGCTCATCCTTCCTTGACTTGGTAGCAATTGCGCCATGTAAGAAAACTTAAACTTCGACGACATGGATCCTTAGTATGTTTGTGCATTTGCAGGTATCTTCATGAGGCTCCTATATCTCGGGGAGCAGTGACCACTGCAGTATTTATTTTTATCATCTTCCTCTTAATTGGCTACACGGGTTACAAATCCGCAAGCCACATTAATAAAGTAGAGGATGATTTTCATAAAATGCAGGAACTAAAGGTTCAAGCTGAAGCAGCTGATGTTGCCAAATCCCAGGTTCTTTTAATATCTTTTCCACGTTTTGAGATTCTTTATTACGTTTCGTTGATCTTTGGGAGGTTGACATGCAATTTTTTTTTTGTTTTGGCAAAACGCAGTTCTTGGCTACTGTTTCACATGAAATAAGAACTCCTATGAATGGGATCCTAGGTACGGTATGGTGCTATTTCTAATACTGATATGCAAAATTATCTCAAGATTCTCAACAGCAATTTAATTAATTACACTACCTACCTCTTAAACTCCATCTGTTTCATTGTGACCTCAGGAATGCTTGCTCTGCTCCTAGATACAAATCTGAATTCAACTCAAAGAGATTATGCTCAAACTGCTCAGGCTTGTGGAAAATCACTGATAACATTGATAAATGAAGTGCTTGATCGGGCCAAAATTGAAGCTGGCAAGTTAGAACTTGAGGCAGTTCCATTTGACCTTCGCTCGATAATAGATGATGTTCTATCTTTATTCTCTGATGAGTCCAGGCGCAAAGGTGTTGAGGTAGGTACTTGAAGATTTAAGATATCCTTTCACGAAGTAATTTATTGCTGCTGTCCATTAGTTTATGCATATAAATATTCGTATACTAATTTCTTGCTCTTGTTCTGTTTTCTCTGCTTCCACAACCTGTTGCCTCTGGATTTCAATTGCCCACGGTGCTTCTTCCTTACACTGCACGATTTCTTGGGAACTGAAGTTGGCCGTCTTTGTTTCTGATAAAGTGCCTGAAATTGTTTTGGGGGATCCTGGAAGATTCAGACAAGTGATAACAAATCTGGTCGGCAATT